TATAGAACGTAAAAGTAAAACACCAAAAGCAAAGAAACAAAGAACAAATATTTTAAAGAATTCAGATGAAATGAGCAAATCTTACATCCATTGTTATTATATTTTTTTTTTGTTTTTACAAAGACAACTCTCTCATTTCTCCGTGTGCTTGTTTTTTGCGTGTAGTTTTCCTTCAGTATGTCTTGAACGGGATTTCTCTCTCCTTGGTTCCTGTCAAAGGACGGTTGAGACTATTTCGGAGGGAATATTCTCTTATGCCAATTCCCCCAATCCGGATCTAGAGTCAGACTCCTCACTGTTGGACTGGCCATCTTGTAAGTGAAGTAACTTTGTGGGAGTGGCATGCGACGTTAATCTGAGCGCTGATTGCTAGCATAGTCCAGGGACACATGGCATGAATCCATGCGTGGTGGATCCACTCCACAAGAATAGTATACGAGTTTCATTAATTCAAAATTGTCATTTCATTTCAAAAAGTCAAGGTCTGTCTTAAATGGTGAAGACATACATCCTCACTAATTTTGCCTATCCTTCCACCAAGAAAATGGTACGTTAAAGTAATGCGATAATCTATTTGACACTCAAGTCAATGTCCATCTTAAATGGTTAGACTACATCCCTCACTAATTTTGCCTACTTCCACTAGGAAAATGAGGTTATGTTAAGTAAATGGTGTAATCTATTTGACACTCAAGTCAAGGTCCGTCTTAAATGGTTAAGTTTATATCCTCCTGTGTTAGTGGTTGTGCTTTACGACGAATTTCATGACTCCCTCTCCTTGTCTCAATTAATTCTCTAATACTACATTACTAATAAAATGATTCTAATTTCTCTTCATCATATCTATTATTAATAAACATTAAGAAACAGTTGAATTTGATTGAAATTTGAGATTTAACATTAGCATCATATAGAATTACTTCAATTCAGATAATATTAATAGAACATCCAAGCTACTGATTCCGGAAATACAATGTAAATACAAAGTACAGTATATGGCTTGCATTTGAATATATTATTTTCATTTCTCACTTCATCTGATATGCCTATATACAGTACAATTATATCTATGCCATTAGCTTTTGAAATTTATTTCTGTTGCAAAACATGTAAGCTAGACGTTTGATTAGGATAATATCTGAATTAAATTTAGTAAAAAATATAATACACGTGTTAGTCCTAATGTAATACTAATTTATAAAAGAGTAATTACAAAGATCTTGATTAGGGTGTCAACTACGTTATAGCATTTTCCTAGTGGAAGAATAGACATATTTATTATCCACATGATCAAAGGACAAGTTGTAGAAATTTTATGTTTAGAATTTCTCAACAAATAATAAAATTGTATGAATTTTATGTGTAGAAAAGGAGGTCAGTGATGAAAATTTGTTATAAAAGCATAACTATTTATAACTAGAGGGTAATCTTAATCTTATGAGACAAAGACGTTGGCTTCAAGGGTGTCAACTATATTATAACATTTAATTAAATGTCCTACTCAGCCAAGAATCATAATTCCATAGAAAACTATGTCAGCAATTAATTTGTCAAATAGACAGATAAGCTTTTAAGTCAAACCTAATACGTTTCAGCATATATGCACCAGTCCTTGCCCAAGGACAGGAAACATTAATATGTGACCAACCGCATTAATGTCAAGATAACTGACGTGCTTCCTACGTTTCAGCATATATGCACCAGTCCTTTGAAATGTATTTTTGTTTCAAAATATGTTAGCTGGACGTTTGACTACGACAATATCTGAATTAAATTTAGGAAAAAAAGGCTTAAAATATGTTGTTATATAATACACGTGTTAGTCCTAATGTGATGCTAATTTATAAAAGAGTAATTACAAAATTGGTATGCAAAATTTAGAGTATTTCAATCAAAAGGGTGCTTAATTTTCTGGAATTTATTTTTAAAGAAGCACTAAATCGCTGGAAATTGAGTTTGTTCAGGAGTTTTTGATACTTCTGTAGATATGTGTTTATAAATGTAATATATGTTGCGAGCTACATATAGGCAAAATAATTTTGGACTCATCTTGGCTTATTAATTTTAGGGAGTGTTGACGTGTTGACTAGGGAGCTTTGAATTAGTAAGGCAGACTGACAACCATAATATGCCGTGCAGAAAGATCAAAAGTTTAGTCATGTTAAATTACTATTAAACTTTCGGATCATGCAATTGTGGTTGAAAACTGAAATATTCAGCGTGTAGAACGTGGCAATAATAAGAACCTTCAAATAAATTTCAAGCGTGTAGAATTGGGAGGTTGAAAATTGAAATATTTATTCTTGAGTTTACTTATGATAATAGTATTGTGATTTATCTTTTGGATTTATAAGGTATTAACTTTGAGATTATCTACTACAATGATATTATGATTTACCTAATTCTTTATGCTTATAAGATATTTAATGGGTTTCGAAAATTAATTAAGGTACACGTAAACTCGCTCAGATGCCCCGTTATTAAAAAAAAAAAAAAAAAACCTTTAAATAAATTGAAGCAGCCTTTATTTGCTTATGTGGAAAATTCTTAGCCATAGCTCTGACCATATTATTCCAACTACTTACTAACCAAATTAAGTTCAATTAGTCAGTAATTATGAGTTAATAAAACAATAGAAAATTGCAATTAGTGTGGCGTTGAAGCCCATGCAAATACAATTGACATTTCATTATCAATTTAAATATCTTAAATGACAGGTCCTTCCATACCATTTAATTAAAGAAAGACTACGTTATAATATTTAATTAAATGTTCTATTCTTAGATTTTCATTGTTTAACATAACATCATTTTCCTAGTGGAAGAATATGCGTATTTATTTTCTACATGTTCAAAGGACAAATAGCAGAAAATTAATGTATAGAATTTTTCAACAAACAACAAAATTGGAATTGGAGACTTTTTAAACACTGATGTCTTGAAAAAGTTACAAGATCCGACCATAGACATATGTATGGAGTTGCATTCACCATACAATGAACATTAGAGTTGTCACCTTCAGGTCAGCATCTGTTTCCATCAGACTCCATTCGCATGTCAGAAAACAATGTGAGCAATTAATTTGCCAATTAGAGCTACTATTTGATCTGTTCACTTGTTAACGAATAATAATACTTTGCTACATTAGTTAATATGTGACCAGCCAAGGCCAAAAAAAAAGTGTGACGTGACATTAATAAACAATTCTAATAAATAGACGTCTTTTCTTTTTTCTTTTTTCCTTTTTATTTTATTTTGATTTTATATTTTTAAATTTTAGAATAAAAATGGCTGTCCTTTCTTTTATGTAAAATTTTTTAGTCAGTTTTTTATTTAATTTTAAAACTGGTTTTTCTCCTTTTTAGTTAAATTGTTTTATTATTTTTTGTTTTTCTTATTTTCTTATTTTTTGAATATTTAGACTTCCAAATAAATTTTTTTTATTTTTAATTGATTTTTTTTAGTTTTTAATTTAAAAATTGAAATACTAAATTCAAATAAATAACTAGGAGCATCTATGTCTTTTTTGTTTGTTTCATGTTAAATTTAGTGTCCATAAATTGAACAAATTGAAATTGTTATCCATTTTGTCCTAAATTGAACAAAAGTACTGTTTAGTGTCTCTGAACTGAAAAAATTGAAACTTTTATCAATTTTTTTTTTTGCATTTCATGAAAAAAATTGTACGTAAATTGATAATATCCCTCATTCGAAAGCCAAAATCTTTTAGAGAATGAGTTTTTCATTCAAAGAGTATAATACAGCATGAGCAAGTTCTCACATAATCCGTCAATTTGGGTAAATTTAATCTCATAATCTATAATATTAATTTTAGTGTAATAGAAGCTTATTTAGAGTGCACCAGAAAGTGTTTAAAAAGCTTTATCACATAATTATTAATTCTTATTATTTTTGTTAAATGTGAAAGCCTGAAACAGCGTCGTTTTGAGTAACAATAATACGGCGTCATTTTAGACATACTGACCGGGACAAATTTAGACCGCAGGATGCACTCCAGATCTAACGGCCAGGATAAACCATGAAGTCAAACCATATATAAACACACTTTCGTTTAGATTTGAGGACGACACACATACTTTAGGGTTTTCTGGGTTTGCACTTCTCTGTGTTAGGGTTGAGATTATTTCTTCCAGATTGTGAGTTAAATCAGTCGAGTGATTAGGGGGTTTAATCATTCAGGTGAGAGTGTTGTTCTCTCGGGTTAGGGATATTCAGAGAGTATCTTGTAAGGCTGGTTGCTGTTGTAATTGGGTAGATCTGGTGAGTGTTGAATCTGTGTAATCTTAACTGTTCCTGATAATCGAAGTGCAGCGAGTTCATACCGTTCTTGAGCTCAACGTGGATGTAGCTTATCCATAAAAGGATAAGTGAACCACGGTAAATCGTGGCTTGTTTGTGTGTTTGTTCTTGTTGTGGTTTTCTTGTTTTCTTGGTGTGATTGATTTGTGTTGGTGTATAGATCAGTATTAAGTTTCGGTTATAACAATTTTTAACTAAAAAATGTTGATAATTTTTAATATTTTAACAAAATAATCAAGAAGATGATTTGACTATCTAAAAATACTTTTGGTATTTCAAAACCCCCCCATTGACTATTTATACATATGATGTGGCATATTCCACGGCCTTATACAAATATTCATGGAATACTAAATATATTTTCTAGGATATTAATAAAATTGAACGACCTTTTAGTGAATCTATAATAATAAACGTAATTAAAATTTATTTAAAATAACCAACAATTTATTGAAAATTTATTCAATATCCATTCAGAGAAATTTCTAAATCTAAGAGAATTGAATCTCAATGATTGTTGCCATTGACATGCAATTATTTAATATTAGATCGAAATTACCACCAGGAGGAATAAAGCTACAAAAATTATTGCCTAAAAGGCTCTTCAATTGCTCAAATTACAAGTGAAAGAGGAATACAACCGTTAAGTATCAGCCTTACATCAGAAAGACAATAAGTTACTTATATAGAAATAGAACCACTAAGGTTGTTACCGTTCAGGTACAAATGTGTTAAATTACTCAAATTAACAAAGGAAGAAGGAATAGGGCCAGAAAGGTTATTAAGGCTAAGGTATAGCTTCTTTAAATTACTCAAATTACCAATGGAAGAAGGAATAAAGCCTGAAAGGTTATTATTGCTAAGGTATAGATACTTTAAATTGCTCAAACTACCAATGGAAGAAGGAATAAAACCATCAAATTGATTTACGTTCAACCTTAGATTCAAAAGAGACTTCAAGTTACCTATCTCCACGGGAATAAAGCCAGAAAAATTGTTATCAAAGAGATACAATACTTTTAAGTTGCTCAAATTACCAATAGAAGGAGGAATAGAACCAGTCAATTGATTTGTGTACAACACTAGCTCCGAAAGAGACTTCAAGTTACATATCTCCATAGGAATAGAGCCATAAAAATTATTCATTTCAAGATACAATACTTCTAAGTTGCTCAAATTACCAATGGAAGGAGGAATAGAACCAATCAATTGATTTTCGCTCAACTCTAGATCCGAAAGAGACTTCAAGTTACCTATCTCCATAGGAATAGAGCCAGAAAAGTTGTTATCGAAGAGATACAATACTTTTAAGTTGCTCAAATTACCAATGGAAGGAGGAATAGAACCATTCAATTGATTTGTGTCCAACTTTAAATCCAAAAGAGACTTCAAGTTAAATATCTCTATAGGAATAAAGCCAGAAAAGTTGTTCTCCTCGAGGTACAATACTTTTAAATTGCTCAAATTACTTATGGAATGAGGAATAGAACCAGTCAATTGATTTGTGCTCAAGTCTGCATCTGAAAGAGACTTCAAGTTACCTATCTCCATAGGAACAAAGCCAGAAAAATTGTTATTAAAGAGATACAATACTTTTAAGTTGCTCAAATTACCAATGGAATGAGGAATAAAACCAGTCAAATGATTTTCGCTCAAGTCTAGATCCGAAAGAGACATCAAGCTACCTATCTCCATAGGAATAAAGCCAGAAAGGTTGTTCTCCGAGAGGTAAAATACTTTTAAGTTGCTCAAATTACCAATGGAATGAGGAATAGAACCAGTCAATTGATTCGTGCTCAAGTCTAGGTTTGAAAGAGACTTCAAGTTACCTATCTCTATAGGAACAGAGCCAGAGAATTGATTTGAAAAAAGATAAAGGATTTCTAGATGTGTTAGGTGGCCAATTTGAGGAGGGATGGTACCAAAGAGTTCATTCACACTTAGATCAAGGTATTCAAGATTAGGAAGGAATGAGAACAACAATTCATGAAGGGTACCTGTTAAACGTGCGCTAGTCAGATTAATACTTCTGATGCTTCTAGCATGGTTGCAGGAGACTCCTAACCAAGTACATGGACTTATTTTAGTGGAATTCACTGAAGAAAGAGTCCACGATGTCAAAAGAGAATGGTTTTGGTTTTGAAGGCTGGCTTTCCATTTAAGAAGAACAAGAGCTTCTTGAGTAGAATCAGAAGCAATATCAAGTGAAGAATTTGACAAAACATACAACAAGAGCAGGGAAAGAAGTGAAAATACTCTCTTCAACATTGAGCACTCCATTGTTTTTCTGATTTCTTAATGCATATCATAATTAGAACTCTGATATATATATATAGGCAACTTATTCAATATACTTTAAGGCTTCAAAAGACTCCATCGATTTTCATCAAGTCAAGGTCTTCGCCTTACATGTTAAGTTTTATTTTCCTGTGTGAGTGGTTGTGCTTCTGCCACGAATTTTCATGACTCAGCTCTCACTATCTCAATTCTTTACCATCTTTACTAATCAAATGATTCTAATTTGTGAACATCATATCTCATTTTTTTTTTTTTTTTTTTTTTAAATAAATGTTAAGAAAGTGTTGAATTCAGATTAACTTTTTGAGATTGGCTTCAAAAGACTCCATTGATTTTCATCAAGTCAAGGTCTTCACCTTACATGGTTAAGTTTTATCCTCCTGTGTGAGTGGCTGTGCTTCTACCACGAATTTTCATGACTCAGCTCTCACTATCTCAATTCTTTACCATTTTTACCAATCAAATTATTCTAATTTTTGTCCATCATATCTCATTTTTTTTTTTTTTTAAATAAATGTTAAGAAAGTGTTGAATTCAAATTAATTGAATAGAACATCACCCCGCTTTGCCAGCCAGCTGGTTACCTTCTTTGTTGGTTCTGGAAATATTTTGATAAAGACAAAAATACAAGAGAGCTTGCAATTGAATATATATTATCTTGAAATTCAGCTTTAACTCAATCTGATATTCTATAGAGCAAAATCTGGTATTGTAATCAAATTCAATATATTTTCAAGTGGACTGCATTTCAATCTAAATCTATTGACTTTTAGTGAACATAGAATTCATTTGAAGGAATGAATTGGTTCTGTATTATATGAATAGGTTAAGTTTAAATTTAAGCTTTTATTTGATCATAGATAAACTAATAAGATGACTCTTTTGTTGAGTAGTAAATTTGCACCAGTCTCTTCCACAACATCTAAGCAATTCAATCTACTTATATTAAAAAGAATTTTACCAGTATAATAATTTGAACAAAAAAATAAAATCCATTTCTATGCGATTTTTAAAATATTATTATTTTCATGTGGGTAATTTAGCAATCTTCTTCGACTTGGGACTTGGGAGATTATCTAATTTCTATGCCATTTGCCACTGAAACTTTTTCTTTGTTCAAATATATGTTAGCTAGACGTTTGATTATATAGTTGTTGATGTTGGATTTTGCACCAACAAGAAGTACATAGGTTTCCTGACAATATCTATGCAAGGGCTTGTAAGAAGCCAATATTTTGACACTGGATCAATATAGAACGTAAAAGTAAAACACTAAGAGCAAATAACAAAGAACAAATAATTTTTAAAGTAATTCAGATGAAATGAGCAAATCTTACATCCATTGTTATTATATTTTTCTTTATGTTTTTACAAAGACGAACTCTCTCATTTTCTCCGTGTGCTTGTTTTTTGCGTTAGTTTTCCTTCAGTATGTCTTGAACGGAGATTTTCTCTCCCTTTGGTTCTCTGTCAAAGGACGGTTGAGACTATTTCGGAGGGAATATCTCTTATGCCAAATCTCCCCCAATCCGGATCTAGAGTCAGACTCCTCACTGTTGGACTGGCCATCTTGTAAGTGAAGTAACTTTGTGAGGGAGTGGCATGCGACGTTAATCTGAGCGCTGATTGCTAGCATAGTCCAGGGACACATGGCATGAATCCATGCGTGGTGGATCCACTCCACAAGAATAGTATACGAGTTTCATTAATTCAAAATTGTCATTTTCATTTCAAAAAGTCAAGGTCTGTCTTAAATGGTGAAGACTACATCCTCCACTAATTTTGCCTATCCTTCCACCAAGAAAATTAGGTTTTGTTAAGTAAATGCTGATAATCTATCTGACACTCAAGTCAATGTCCGTCTTAAATGGTTAAGACTACATCCTTTCTAATTTTGCCTATCCTTCCACTACGAAAATGAGGTTACGTTAAGTGAATGTTGATAATTTATTTGACACTCAAGTCAATGTCCATCTTAAATGGTTAAGACTACATCCTCCACTAATTTTGCCAATCCTTCCACTAGGAAAATGAGGTTATGTTAAGTAAATGGTGATAATCTATTTGACACTCAAGTCAAGGTCCGTCTTAAATGGTTAAGATTATATCCTCCTGTGTTAGTGGTTGTGCTTCTACGACGAATTTTCATGACTCACCTCTCCTTGTCTCAATTAATTCTCTAATTACTATCATTACTAATAAAATGATTCTAATTTCTCTTCATCATATCTTATTATTATAATAAACATTAAGAAACAGTTGAATTCTGATTGAAATTTGAGATTTAACATTAGCATCATATAGAATTACTTTTCAATTCAGATAATTATTTTAATAGAACATCCATAGCTACTGATTCCGGAAATACAATGTAAATACAAAGTACAGTATATGGCTTGCATTTGAATATATATTTTCATTTCTCACTTCATCTGATATTGCGTATATACAGTACAATTTGGTGTTGTAATCGATCCAATTCAGATAATTTCGGACTCCATTTATATCTATGCCATTAGCTTTTGAAATTTATTTCTGTTGCAAAACATGTAAGCTAGACGTTTGATTAGGATAATATCTGAATTAAATTTAGTAAAAAATATAATACACGTGTTAGTCCTAATGTAATACTAATTTATAAAAGAGTAATTACAAAGATCTTGATTAGGGTGTCAACTACGTTATAGCATTTTCCTAGTGGAAGAATAGACATATTTATTATCCACATGATCAAAGGTCAAGTTGTAGAAATTTTATGTTTAGAATTTCTCAACAAATAATAAAATTGTATGAATTTTATGTGTAGAAAAGGAGGTAAGTGATGAAAATTTGTTATAAAAGCATAACTATTTATAACTAGAGGGTAATCTTAATCTTATGAGACAAAGACGTTGGCTTCAAGGGTGTCAACTATATTATAACATTTAATTAAATGTCCTACTCAGCCAAGAATCATAATTCCATAGAAAACTATGTGAGCAATTAATTTGTCAAATAGACAGATAAGCTTTTAAGTCAAACCTAATACGTTTCAGCATATATGCATCAGTCCTTGCCCAAGGACAGGAAACATTAATATGTGACCAACCACATTAATGTCAAGATAACTGACGTGCTTCCTACGTAAGATCCCAAGTCATATTAATTATTTTTTATTATAAACTCCGTCAGATTAACTACCAAATAATAATACTTTACTACATTAGTTAAGATGTGACCAACCAAGGCAAACAAACAAACAAAAAAAGTGTGAACTGACATTAATAAACAATTTTAATAAATAAACGTCTTTTCTTTTTTCTATTTTCTATTTTTAATTTTTTTAATTTTAAAATAGAAATGGTTGTCCTTTCTTTCATGTAAAATTTTTTGTCAGTTTTTTATTTAATTTTAAAATTGATTTTCCTCTTTTTCGGTTAAATTGTTTTATCATTTATTATTTTTAATATTTACACTTCGAAATCAAACAAAATTTCTTTTTTATATATTTTTATTGGATTGTTTTAGCTTTTAAATTTTAAAATTGAAAGACTAAAACCAAATAAATAATTAGGGGTATCTAAGTCTTTTTGTTGTTTTATTTTAAAATTAACCGTAAGTGTTCCTAAATTGAACAAAGTAATTTACTGTCCATAAATAGAACAAATTGAAATTGGTATTCGTTTTGTCCCTGAATTGAACCAAAAACTATTTAGAATCTCTAAATTGAACAATTTTTTTTTTTTTTTTTTTTTTGGCATTTCATGAAAAAGTTGTACCTAAATTGATAATATCCCTTATTTGAAAGCCAAATTCTTTTAGAAAATGAGTTTTTCATTCAAAGAATACAATATGGCATGGATAAGTTCTCACTAATCCATCAATTTGGCTAAATTTGATTTCATCATCTATAATATTGATTTTAGTGGAGCAGAAGCTCATTTAGGGTGCACCACAAAATGCTTTAAAAAGGTTTATAGATAATTATTCATGAAATATTCTAAAAATAGTCAATTTTTTATTATTTTTAACTAAAAGAAAAAATGTTATTATTTTTACTTTGATTTCATAATCCAATTCCGATTTTGCTTCTCACACTTTAATGGAAACTCGCACTTTTTTTTATTCATGTATTTCATCATATTAGTATTATTATCTGTTACTACAATATTATATTTTTGGATTGTGACTTATATGTCAGCTAATGCATTTATACCCTCTTTGTAAGTTTATTGTGAAATCAATATTCACTCCATACTTGGAACATGTTATGAAAATGTTGTATATTGTAAGTTCATCTTATTTTTCATTTTTATTATTGTTTGGGGCGATGCTACCCGTCCAGCTTCCCAAAAAATAAATAAATAAATTTAATTTTATATATAAGAATGAATTTTTTCACCCTTTAAAATTTATTTTCTGGATGATTTATTTATTTATTAAAATTTATAATACAACCCCTCCAAACTTAATTTGTTGACTCTACTACTGATTATCATTGGTAGTTACAAGTGTATCATTGTAAAGAAACATTGAAACTTAATACCAAGATTATAGCTTTCCATCATTTTATTTGTTAGTATCCTCCTAATTAATTACACGCCATTTATGTTATAAAATTTCTTAATAATTTAGAAGCCCATATGATATTTAATTAGCCTTCACTTTTCCTTCCCAATTAATGTGGAATGTTACAAAAATTTTAGTAGATATAAAAAAGAATTTTGGGATTTCATAAAAAAAAATAGAAATATGAAAATAGTCCCAAAATGTAAACTAATAAAGAATATATATAAAATTCATTACCTATAAATTTGAAATTCAAACATAAAAAATCATTTCTTGTAACTTTGAACATGAGATATAATGAGCTAATAAGGAATTAAAATTGATCTATTTAATTATTGGACTGAGCAATTAAAACTTGTTAAAATGTATAGTGTCCCATATAGTAATTTAATTTAAGGTTAAACTTATCAAAACTAAATATATTAAAAAGGAGG